AGAGGGGCAAGGTCAGCTCGACACCCAGCTGCCGCCTACGTGGTTCCAGTGTGCTGTCAGCCCGCAGGGCACAGTGTCAGTGTCAGTGTGGGCTGCCAGGGTGTTTCTAAGCAGTCGAGCACTGTGGGATGAAGTAGGGGACAAGTTTGACACTAGAGAATTTTATTTACTCTTTGTTTTTGCTTTTTTTCTGTTCTTGCCATAGAGTGTATCCACTCGCACGAGAGAGCCAGCGAAAGGGAGAGCCACCCCCTGGGGGTGATAGGTACATTACAGTCCCTTCTCTTCCATTCTCCTCTCTGGATTTTGGATATGTATACACTGGCGTGATTTCCAAGTCTGGGTCTCGAGTAGCAGGTAGCCATGTGGGAGTCTAGTGTCTTAACCAGCGTGCCACCTGCCGGTCTCTTACGAGAGGATTTTAGATGCATTGAAACGTGCACATTCTAATCTGAGACTCAAAACAAGAGATTGGTCATTTGGGGTCAAGTAGCAGGGTGGTGGTGCGTCCAGGCTTCAGAAAGTCAGAGGCTGGTGTGTTGGTCGTGAGAGCAAGTGCCTGGTGTGGGGTCCTGTGCGCGGCCCTGTGTCAGCGGCTGCTGGGTGTTCTGTGCTTCCCTGTGGGCCGAAGAGAAGCACCGTTTTCCCCACATGTGACCTGCTGGCTGTGGGCTTGGCTTCCTCTTTGGAAACTTGATCGTTTTCCTGAGTGTTCTCGAATATGGTGCGATTTTCAGGATCCATGTCCGAAGAACAGGTGCTGCTGGCTCCTCCATGAGTGAGGCTCAGCAGCTGGCTAGCGTGCAAGCTGTTTGGAGGAGAGTTTCTGGGTCCCCCTGGGCCACTGTGTAGACACCACCGGGGCTCACCGGCCACCCTACGGACAGGGAGCCCACCTCACTCCTGCAGGCCCCAGCCTGTGGGGCATTTTTGTGCAGGGTTCGTGGGTGATTTTGTAAGCATTGCATTCATGAAATGCGGTTTCCTAATGAGAAATGATACCGACACAGAGTTTAGAGACTTCCATAACGAGTCTTCATCATGGTTGAGGGTTATGCTGTCAAGGGCAGTGCCACGTGACCCAGGGCTTCAGGGGCACCCGCCTGCTCTGAGGAAAGGGGATGTGCATGTTTTGGAGTAGTTGTTTTTCCTTACAGGGATCGGATCAGAGGAACACGACGGGTCTGTGTGTGCACTGGGAGGTGGTGCCACCTAGTGTTCACTGGTGTCATGGCATGTCCTGGTGGTCCAGTGGTTAGACCAGGAGGAAGCCCAATTATCTGGCCTTCTAGTTATAGAAAACTGTAGTAACTGCATGCTCACTGTCCTGTAAAGCTCCTTTGATCTGAGAATTTTCTTCAGCATAGCAGTGGTCACGTGGCAGCCAGTGGTGCTCCGGGTTAGAATGTCCGCCCCTTCCCCTGTGCTCACAAGCCTCTCTCCTCTTTAGGAATCGGGGTCAGTGACGATTTCCTGTAGGCTCATTATTACAGAGTACGGAGAACTGACCAGGCCTGTGGAAAGGTCCTGACCAGAGGCAGAGGTGACATAACAGTGTAGCAGCAGGGTGTCACAGAGTTCAGGCGAGGATGAGCTCAGGAAGACTGAGAACCCTGTGGGAGTAGTAACCTTGCTACCAGACGGACCGGAGAGGAGACCACAGGCTGTGGGCTACAGGAAGGGGCGTGATCTCTGTTGTCACCTGAGGCTCAGACCACGATAATGTGGATGTGAAAGAAAGCCCAGACGTTGGCGTTTTTCAGGGAGAAGGACAGGATTGGTATCCAGAACAACCCAGTGCTCCGGGATGAGATGCAGGGGAGCCTGCAGGGGAGCCGTGCAGGAATCCTGGCCGATGCGCTGAGTCAGCAGGACCAGAGCCTGGGGCAGACTTCTGTCACCGCACTGGGCCACCGTGGGGTGCCTGAGGGTCTCCCCCAGCATAAGTTCCTGTAGTTAGCCTTGGGTGAGAGCTCCCTGACCAAGCCCTGGGCAAGGGCTGGCTGGGCCCACAGAGGTTGGGGGCAGAGTGCTGCCAGCCCTGCCTTGCACCAAGGGGTGATGGGTGTGCCTCCCTTCTGGGAGGGCAAGGTGGGCTGGGGCGGGGCGGGGCCCAGGAATTTGCTTTTATAATGATAAAAGTTGGGCTTTTGGGCTTTTTTTAAGAGAGATTTTTTGCTATAGGGTGTGTTGCGCTCCTCAGAGATGCAGAAAGAGACAGACAGAAAGTGAGAACTCACCCCTGGGGGCATGGCCACCCCACAATCCCTTCTCTTCCATTCTCCTCTCAGGATTTTGGGCACGTATGCCCACGCGCCCAGTGTGAATTTTAAGCCGCCAGTCCAGGACTCAAACCGTGGTCAACTACGTGGGAGTCCAGTGGCGTAACTATTATGCTGGTCCCTATTGGGCGTATTTTAAGCAGCTCCACTGTGTTAAAAACAACTTATATAATTTCTTGACATTAGAGATAATTCTTTAAGGTCCTAAAAATGGGTGGCTAGAGAGAGAAGAGGCATTCGATTGATTAAGACTGCAGAATCATTTTAGAATTCCCGTTAACACCTGCATTATCTATACACACATGCATGTGCACGTGCACCACACCTGTGTATACACACACAACCACGCATGCACAGACGTCTCCTAGAAAGATGCCTCGGCGTGTAGGCTGTGGCCGTGTGGTGCTGACACCGCCTCAGCTGTTGGCCAGTGGCCCTGCACTCACCCGTGAGCCACTGCCCACCATAGGGCCTGGGTCCCTTCACTGCACAGCAGCTCCTCGGGCATGACAGGGACTGTTCTTAACAAAGATGGGGGACTCCTGTAAAACATCACCAGACAGGGCCCAGCTGTGAGCCACTGCACCATGGTGCTTCCCCATGGGGTATTGTCGGGCCAGAATTCTGGGCCGGCCGTGTAGTGGGGCAGGCACACATCCCATGATCTGGTGGGAGGCCCTGTGGAGGGCGATGCCCTGTCTCTGTCACTTGCTCTCATGAAAGAAAGAAAAAGAAAATGCCAAAACCACCTGACACGCAGTCGTGAAGAGGGGTGGTACCTGTGCCCAGCGAAGGTCTGGGCCACGGTGTGCCGATGACAGCGGTCATAGCTCCCGGCCTGAAGATGTAACCCTCCGGAGAGTGGCTCAGGAGGCAGTGCCGGGGCATTTCGTGGCATAGCGGGGAGTGTAAAAGTGCGTACTCATGTCTGTTGCAGCAGTTTACAATGCAGTACTAGAATGCTTCTGTTTTCTTCCTCTAGAGTTTACAGATGCTTCCGCAGCAACGGAAAGCCATAGCTAAGTTCAAGGAGCCCGCCCACGCGCTTGCATTTCAGCAGAAGTTCCACAGGTAGGCCTGCATTGTGTGCTTCCGGGGATAGGGTGGAGGGGGAGACAGGCCTGGCCCTCCCCTTTAACCGTGCCTGTGCTGGGGCTTGAGGGAGCAGACAGCATGTCCTCGCCCCAGGGGGCAGGCTGCCCTCGGAAGTCCCCTGTGCTTCCTGGGCCGGGCCGCCCACTGGGTAGGCCCTTGCCCGCGGGTGGCCTTGCTCCCTGTGCAGGCCAGTGCTGAGGTCTCTTGTGTCCCCACAGGCACATGGTAGACCTGTCCCACATCAACGTGGCCCTGATCGTGGAGTGAGCCCTGCAGCAGCCGACCTGAGCCGTCACTGCGGATCTCCCCTGGCGCTGCCGGCGCAGAGTGCTCGGGAGCCGGGCGGTCCGGCTGTGCCTGACTGTCGTCCGGAGGTCCTGCCAGCCGCAGGGTGGGTCCCAGGAGAGCCGGACTCGCAGGACGCGGCACTGTGGAGTCGGTGTTGGGTGGCCTCACGTTCTGCTGTCACCACAGAGAACTCCAGCTGTTCGTCGTCTTTTGTTTCGAAGTGCTCACGATGCATGTAGACCTTGTTCCTCATGGTCCGACTGGTCGGTCACAGCGACTTAGATTCAGGAAAGAACGTTACGTCACAAACTAAGTATCTCCCACAGCAAAGAATATCTGATAATGGTTGCACTTATCTTCAGTGCAGGCTAGAGAGAGTTTTCTCAACCAAGCTTAACTCGAGGCGTCCTCTCAGAAAGCCTGCAAAAGGCTCTTGTAAAAACGTAGATCGAATGTGGGTGTTTACCGATTGACGTTTGCATATCCTGGGCAGCCAGGGTATGGGGTGGGGAGTGGTGCCGATCCAAGTGGCAGATTCTGCCTCTCATAACATTTGCATAGCGCCAGTGGGGTGTTCCTAGTTCTAGGGTGCACGGCCCCCCTCCCACATTTCCCCAGTGAGGTACAGGCGCCACAGAGACACCTCACACCTCCTCGTCTCCGAGGAGGCACCTGTGCTCCTCCGTCCGGGCTGCCTTTGTGGCACACGAGACTGAGGAGCAGCTGGAAGGTGCACAGACCTGCTGGCCTTCTCTCCTCGGTCGCAGCCCAAGGTGGCGTGTTGGGGCACGTGCTCTGTGATTTAGAATGCTCTTTGGAACCCGGTTATCATGCTTTGATTGACGTTTTTTCCTTGAGGCTTTTGAGCAGGGGCTGTACTGTCCTTCACGGACCCAGGAGCCTGGTGGTGGCTTCTACGGCGTGTCCTTCTCCACGACCTGTGGGGAGAGCAGTGGCGTCTAGCAGGATGACGTAGCCGCAGGCAGTGTGTCCGTGCCATTGCTCGGCCGCGCGTGGTGCCGGTCCCGCTCCTGGGGTGAGCTTCCTCTCCGTAGCACAGCCTGTAGGGG